TATAACTTCACCGACTAGTTATTTTATAGTACCACTAGCACATGGTAAAAATATAGATTTGTGTCCATCAAAAAGTATACCAACCAAGCTACTACAAAGCATGTGCATATCATGATGCAGTAACATAATTATGGTAGCTTTTCAAAAGAACATGCCCACTTTTAAAGGAAATCATTTGCATTTTCTCATTATTTCTAACTTTCATTCAATCTAAAATCATATTCATTTTTCAAACATTCATATTTATAAACTTGTCCCTTTTCTCAGAAAAAAGTAAGAACATTGGATTAAATGGTTCGGTATGAAAATATCAAGTCAAAGATACCAACCATTACAAACTCAACAAAAGCAATTCGAGTGGAATGATGATAGTCTCCAAGAAGTCTTAATCGGTAAACCTATAACAGAAGAGAGTCATATCATGATATTTGCACTATAAGTCATGTCAAGATGAAAATTACCAAATAGAACAGAAGAGCGGACACCAACCTCTCCACATATAGACTCAAAGAAGAGTCTAACATCAGCTTGAGATACCTGTACCAAAGGAATACCATTATAAAAAAACATACTGAGACAAGATCTACTTAACTGGAGGTGAATATTAGAGAGTGAAACTTGACTCATGAACTGCAAATTTTGAAGTGCCAAGAACAATAATTTGAGGAATGTTTGCCTCAACAGACATGCTACAGGGAGGAAAAAATAAGACATGTTTAGGCAAGAATAAAATCAGTTAATTGAACCATAATGAAATAACCTGCTTTTGGTTTTAAGCCAGGTAAGAATAAGGCACTTTATATGTAATAGAGGATGTTTTCCCAAGTATAATTTACACCAATTTAAAATAGACTGACCCAAAAAGCTGTGGGAAACTTCAATAATCCTATTAAGTACTATCTTTGAACTTGACATTGGTTCTGTCAAGGCTGAATTCCTGACTGCATTAATGGGTGAAGCTGGAAAATAGTTGTATTAAGCTGCCATGGAAGATGGAATAGATAATGTGAGAATTATCACTGACCTTCTTGTCAATATTTGTGCAGTAGATAGTCCTTGAACACATCTCGCGTTCATCATCGGACTGAAAGACAGGAGTACTTAAATAGTTAGACATTGAGAATAAAGACATGAGACAAATGCAATTTATCAAAGGGATATCATCGAAACAAAGGAATCCAACAATCAATTTCCTCATACCCTTGGCAAAAATGTAGGATTGACAGGTGCAATTGCAGTTTTTGAAGGAAGCACTTTAACTGGGTAAAACCCAAGCATGGTCCCTGACAGATTTAAAGCAGCCCTTGCACCCTCTGAATTTGCATAAGCCCAGACAATTATTGGTGATTTCATATCTCAAAATTGAGACACTAAATAGCATGTAAGCACACTACACTGA